AGAAAATATTTTTCTATTTTTAATTAAATAAAAATTTACCAAAAGTTTTATATATAATTTGAAAATCATATACTCTATCCTTAATAAAATTTTTAATCAATTAGATAATAGATCATTCTATTCAACTAGTTGATTAATCAATTTTATTCAACTAATCAATTAGTTGACCAATTAATTAATTAGTTGATTGACCAACTAATTGATTAGTTAAATAAAATTAATTTTCTGTTATTAAATATAAAAGATATAATTTTTTGTCATAGTTGAAGCTTGAAACAACTGATGCTTGAAATTTTTTAATTATTTTAATTTGTATGATTACTTACCTTGATGATAATTTAATTTTCTATGCCAGGCTCTTAAAACATGAAAGTGGCAAAGTAATACTATACTATTAGGAAGGCTTTTCTTGACTGCTTTGATTTCTTTTCTAGCATCATTCACTATAAATATATCTGGATCTCATTCTTTATGCATAACTTTTAAATAATCAAGCCAACTTTTTAATGTATTTGATTTTTTATACTTACTAACAAGAAATGCAATTAGATATCCACTACCTGATGTTGAATGTCATATTATGAGTATAAAAAGATGATACCCATGCTGATTTAACCTGTGTATACTATCAAGACATATAACTCTTGCAACCTTCATTAGCTTTTTTTGCTTTTCTGTTTGAAAAGCAAACATGAATTCTTTGTCATAATCACCATGCTCAAACAAACAGTAACCACCTACACAAGTCAATTTTTCTTGCCATTTTTTTAAAGAACCCATTTCATTGTTATCAAGATAAGCACATGCTTTCATTGTATCATGTATAATTGCATATATGTCATCTCTTGTTACAAGCCCATCTCTTAATACTTGAATATTATTATTATTATTATTATTATTATTATTATTTACATTCAATTGTTGCACTTGATCTAGGAGTTTGATTCCTCGATATCACAAAAACTGCTAGATACTATAAGTGTCAAGTTCTTCTAATGCATGTTGTCTTATAAATTGTCAGATGTTTTCTGACAAAGGAAGAGTATACAAGTCAGATAATTGACCAGGATAGTGGTTATTATATTTGTAATAATATTTTAGAGTCACAATTGATGAATTAATTGAGAGTGCAACTTGGATGTAGCTCTTGCATTCACCCTTCTTCGTCTCCTTTTGTGTAAGTCGTAGTTTTTTGTTAAGATCCTTTCTAGCAGCACTAGTATATGTTCCATAGCGATGGCAATGCCATCGCTCTGTCCATACTTTTTTTTTTCTTGAACCACCTACCACCACTTTATGTTTATGCCAAGTGTAGCTAAGTCCTAATTTTTATAGGTTGATTATCCATTCTTTGTATGTATCTACAGGCAAATGAAATGTTTTTAATCTTTCTGCATTTGACAAATTCGGCAGTATTTCATCATCATCGTTCATCTCCTATTCTTCTCCAACGCCATCTGTTGCATTCATAATCATATTTAGGGTATCATCAAGCTCCTGATCACTAATATCCATATCAGACCCCTCATCTTCTTCAATATCGAAAATTGTATCAATATCAACTGACTATTATTGGAATTAATTTTATTTAACATTACTTAGTCTTTTAGATACTTAAAAATTTTTTTAATTTCAAATTTTTTACAAACTCTTTTTATTCAATTCAAAGATTAAATATACAAATAAATATATATTTATTTTTTAATTCTAACCTATTATTTTTAGCATTTGTGTTTCAGTTGTTTATTTAAGAAATTTGTTATTATAGATATGTTTAATTTTTGTTTTCATTTAATTGTTGTCATTTTTTAATTTACCTTTTTCTTATATTCGCATTTATGCATAATCTTTAAAAAATTATTACTGCAACACACCATTCATGAAACTGTATCGAGATTGTTGAGATTTTTATCTATTGCATATTATTCTATATATTATATTCATAGAGTACAATTATGTGCATTTCATTACTATAGGACCGATTGTTTGGAATTTTAAAAGTTGCAAATATGTTTTACTTTAATTTTTACACTATATTTTGATATTTTGTTGCTTTTTTATTTATTCATTTTATTTTATTTTTTATATGATGCGATCCTTTTGAAACTATTACTAAAACCGCATTGAAATTGTTGTACTACTTAATTTTTCGATATATGCATAGTGTCATAGCCATTACTATGGAATGCATTCATGTGTTCATTTTAATGGAACTGATCAATTTGATGATTTCTCAAGTTTCAGGCCTCAGAAATAGGTCTAATTTTATTTTATTTTTTTTATTGTTACTTGTTTTATTTTTATTTACATTTACAGTATATCGCTTTATTATTAGGTAATTATTACTATAAATATATAGTCTCTAAAACCGCATTGGATCTCTGCAACCTTTCCAATATAATTTTTATCATTTATGTATGTTTCAATTGATCTTCATTTATGCATGTTTCAATCGATCTTCATTTATGCATGTTTCAATCGATCTTTAGTTCTTGGACAGAAGTGAAGATAATGTTTTTGCATTTACTAATTTTCGTCATGATTGGATGAATTCGGTGATGTCACTTGATTCTGGCCAATCAGGATCAGTCATGGTGAGAAGATCAGGTGTAAAGTGAAAATCATCAAAACAATAACTTTATTCTAAAAAATCGCATTAATCTCAAAATTTCTCCTAAGAAATCACCTTTCACGTATTAACAAAAAAAATTCCTTACAGAATTTTGGTATAATTTCGGCTACTAATCCTAATGCCAACTCTAACTGAAATGTCACATTTTAAAAAAACGATGACATGTAAATAATCACAAATTATTTCAACCAATAGAAAGTGTGGGTGAAAATTAATAAAATCAATGTTTTTCAAATTATGACTCTGAGCACTAATCATTTTTAGAAATTCGAATAATTAAAATAATTGTAATTTATGTAATTTTTTTTTTTATCTATTATTCTAATTTAATAAGAATCGTATTTATGCATATATTAACTCGTATTTCTTGTGTGAAATGAATTATCGCACCCGCATGAGATAAATTAAGAAAATTATCATTGCACTCATGAGATAAATTAAGAAAATTATCAATGATTTATCAAATGCAAAAATTAATAAAAATTAAATTCGAGCATAGTATTTATAGAGATGTACTTTTTATTTGGGTTTTACTAATATGAAATTTTTATCGCTTAAATCGTGTGAAATCGCACGACACAATCTAGCATGAAATATTTTTTATTTCGCGTGAAGTACACTAAAATTATGTTTAGCAAAAACTGTATCATATGATACGCTGTTGGCCAATCAGAGATGAGATCTACCTACGACCAATAGGAAACCTGGGGGAAATTAGTATACGCACTACTTAGTACAGTCTTCCCCCTCTATAGTCACCTCCTCTATAGTCACATTTGCTTATAATCGCATAAATTGTTAAACCTAAATTATATTATACTTACGCTTATAAAATTTAACCTCGATCATGCCGGGGTAATATCGAATGTGTCGACCCACACAATGTATTACATATTGCAAAGCAAAGAAAATAATAATGAAGGGTTATACAAAGAAACATATTTAATCAAAATTTTCGTAATAGATTGTCGTAACTTTTTTTTAAATCTAGATTAGTGTGAACATTTATTTTCACAATACAATAATAATGTGTCAAATTTTAAGTTTTCTGTGTAATAATAACAGATTCTAGAGGTTACATATTCAACTGTTTTGGCACGGGTGGCCCGCTTGACTATAACCCGATCTAAACTATAGAATAACTATTTAAGTTATAAACATTCACTCCAGTGTAAAAGTCCACCATTTTTTATGCGCTCGTTTCCCTTTTTGTATTTTATCTAGTTCTAGCTTCCACGATAAGATAATTTTTATTACCTTTATAATTTTAAAGAACACTTCTTGTAAATTTATGGTTTGAACTAGTGGGAAGTGCGAAACATAAACCTAATTTTTGTACAATGTTCTAATTTCTTAAGATCCCCAGTTCTTTTCCATATGTGTTAAGTACACCATCCTCTTGCGCTAATACTTCAGTGTTCCTTTTCCATCAAGTTTGGGCGAGCTATTCCCAACATTCTTTTAGTTTATTTATGACCTCGAGGCCAATTCACCATAACCCAGAGACGCATTTCTCAATAGGGGAGTTCGTTAAGTTCATTATTGTATAAAAAATAAAATTGGCGCAAAAAAGCTTTGAACATATATTATATCGTTTGATGCGGAGGAGTAATTAAATGAATTTTTATCCAAACATTCACCATAAAGCTTGCCGATCGTTTTTCTATAATGGACTTTATTTCGGGGTCTTGAAGTTGATTTGCAATGCTTTTTTTGAAGCCACCAGGTAAACATTTGGTACAATCAATATTGTACAGGTTCATTACGCCAATGGAAAGTGAAACTTTTTTCATTTCGTTTGTACATTTATGCAATTGTAGAACGTCTTTTACGAGGTCACAGGTAATATAATTTAGTTGCATCTAGGTCCTTATTTCCTAATTTGGCTGTATGGTCTAGATCCTCAGGTTCTAACTCGACTTCTTCATCTAGATTAAACCTAATTCCGCTGCATCGTCAAGATTCTTAGGTTCCAACTCCAGGTTATTGGGTTCCAATTCCACTGCTTTTTCAAGATAAGTGACAGATTTGAATTCATCCGGTGAATAATAGTTCCTTAGTTTTTTTGTTGGGAAGGGGTTCAAGTTAATTCGCCTTTTGTCTTTCTCTATACATTATTTTATCACATTCATTTATGTGCTCTTCTAATGCGTTGAACCTGATGTGACATTCTTATTGTATCTAGATCGTTTCAAAATAATAAATTAATAATAATTCTATTGAACATATTAGCAATGTAGTTGGCTTACCTCTTTTTCTTGTAATAAAGCTCGTTCAGTGCGAGATTTTTTTCTCTCATCTTTTAAACGGACAATATCCCAAATTTTTGTACGGGAAAAGATCGCATGTGCTCATTACCTTTTCTTTGTGAAAATGTAAATTGAAAATGTTTAACATAAAGATTAATAAAAGCTGGTAAAATTTTTAAAAAGGACATTATATATAAACCTGAAACCTTCTCAAGATAAATATTAGGTCAATAATCCTTCAATTGTCTTTATCCTATAAACAAGCATTTCTGAAGTATATTTATTATAACAAATGGTCTTATGTAAAGTCAAACTGATTAAGACCATTTTTAGATCTTAAAAAATGTAGTTTATAGCACTTTTTATACTTTCTTTTGTAAAAAAAGGTTAGTTTTAAAATACGTAGTTTAAAAAGCAAGGAAATTCATTTTAATTGGCTGTAATCAGAATGATCGACAATGATCGACATTTTATTCTGATTGGTCAATTTAGTCCCGTGATCTGCATTACGATCATTTTACGAAATGCCGCAGAAATCACGAAATTGGGTTGTAATCAGGGCTTAAAATACTATAGTAATTTGCCGGCCTACAGCCTATTGTTTGAAGTGTTTTTCTTGATTTACCAAAATTAATGTATTGTTCTAATATACTATATATCAAGAATGACACTTTGAATGGCCGGCATTTCAATATAGTTGTTTAAGCCCTGGTTGTAATGCAGAATTCTCACGAATGCATGGTTGTTACAGTAGACAATGAGAATTTTTTTTTGTAAGCCGATAATTATAAAATATGTAATGGTGAAATAATGCTGGAATAAATCAAGTTTAATATTGTTATCAAATAGAGTTGATGCTAAAAATAGATAAGCATCAATACAAATCAAGTTAACTATTGTTTTCAAAATGGAATTGTGTTAAAGATATTCAAGAAAAGATTGAGGTACGTTATTTTTTTTATTTTTTTTTATACTTACTAGTTTACTATAAGAAAGTACTTATCCGAAGCATTTTCTAAACATGGCATAGCTTTAATGCCGGTCATTGTTATCAAAATAGAATTGTGTCAAAGGCATTTAAAAAATTTAGGTATGTTAGATTTTTTTTTTTTTTTATTCTTATTATTTTACTACATATAAGAATGTATTTATCTAAAGCATTTTCTAAACATGGCATAGCCTTTATACTGGTCATTGTTATCAAAACGGAATTGTGTCAAAGGCATATGGTGATAACTAGTATATATATAACTTGTTTTCATACATTACATATGTATATATAAATAAAAAAAAAACTATATACTTTTATTTGCATATCTATTATTTGTATTGGCAATATTGTCTACTGATTTTGTTTTATACTGTTAGTTTATCCACTATCCTATGACTATGAAAAAAAATAAAGGTCCCTGCTCTATACAAAATTGTAGTAGAAATTCTACTCTTTTTCGCAAACTTACTTCTATTATATATAAAAAAATACAAACAAAAGAAACCTTAAAAAAATATGGTTATTTAAACATTAGACAAGAAATATGCTATAGTTATTATTTAGATATTGTAGAACCCAATCGTCATTCAAAAAAAAAAAAAATTACAGGTTGAAGTAAAAGAAGTAAACATTGATGATAAGTCAGTTACATATTGCGACATACAAAAACCTAAGGCAAACATTGTTAATAATAGTTTAAATAATGGACTTTCATTTGCAGATCAGGTTCAAATACTTACAAAAGTTCTTTACAAATATCAACATGACAAACCTGGTTTTATTGAACTTAGCCTTGTTCATTTTCAATTAATAATAGAGAATACTGATTCTTGTTTGTATGAGTTCTTTAATCAAATAATTAGGGCATTGATTTCTAATAAAAGATCTGTATATAAAAAAGTAGAGGCAAAAAAAACTGTAGTTAGTTTTTGCTATATGATGACTAATGTAAAAAACATGTTTGTTAATAGTTTTGAATTAAAGATTGGTTTGTATCTTTCAGCATCTAGAATCTCATCTATAGCTATTAATACATTACACAGTTTGGATGTCTTCGTATGTAATAAAACAATTAGTAATTACAAGAAAAAACTTGTTCAAAATCATCCTCAAAACATTTAAAATTTTTTTATCAACAATAGAAATGTAATAATATTTTTTTTAATTTAAATATTTTTTAACAGAATGTTTTATATATTTATAACTTGGACAATTATCATAATATTCATAAGGAAAGATGTTCCAGCACAACAATACTATTGACATCTTCACATTTTGCGACATATATTTGTAAGCCATTAAAACTATGTCATCGATTCCTCTTATTTTTAATAATATACATATTCATAATCCACTAAATATTGATGTAAGCAATATTTATTTTAGGTTAGTGCATCAGTATAGTGGAATCTTTAATATTTCATATAGAATACGAAGGTTACAATGGATTACATTTGGAGGCCTAAAAATTAATCATAATTAAATTAAATTATAAACAGTCCATGTTTACAATAAGGCAATAAGTGAGTAAAAAGAGGAATGATCTATCAAAGATATGTAACTAATCAAGGGTGTGGGTCCCATAGCTTAGCAGTTAAGCTCCTATACCCTCCACAGTCAAGGTCAACAGTTCAAGTCCGGCTGGAGGCAAAATTGAAAGATTTTAGCTT